GAATTCCTGAGCCAGCTATGCTGGCTCAGGAATTCTGGGAGTTGAAGTCCACCAGTCATGAAGGGGGCCATAGTTCCCCCATGCTGGCTCAGGAATTCTGGGAGTGGAAGTCCACCAGTCATGAAGGGGGCCATAGTTCCCCCATGCTGGCTCAGGAATTCTGGGAGTTGAAGTCCACCAGTCATGAAGGGGGCCATAGTTCCCCCATGCTGGCTCAGGAATTCTGGGAGTTGAAGTCCACGAGTCATGAAGGGGCCATAGTTCCCCCATGCTGGCTCAGGAATTCTGGGAGTTGAAGTCCACCAGTCATGAAGGGGCCATAGTTCCCCCATGCTGGCTCAGGAATTCTGGGAGTTGAAGTCCACCAGTCATAAAAGAGCCAAGGTTACCTACTCCTGAGCTAAAGTGTTTGCAATGATGGCAACTGGAACAGTTGCGGACTTCAACGCCCACAGGTCTTCAAGTCGCCAACACTGCACACCCCTGGTGTTTAAATGCACTTTGGAGATGTGACTTGCATAAATAAAATTCCTTGGAAGGTCTCCTCAGAGGTTCTGCCCTTTTCTTCACCACTCTGATTCAAACCTACCTTGGCCTTGTAAGATTAAAATGCCCCAGAGGGTGAATACTTTGGTCCAAAGTTCTACATTCCTAATCCATAGCACACTAAATAACATTTTATGAAATTGCTTTCGACAAACAGATTTGCCACCTGTCCACTGTCTGCCTTTGGAGCACCAGGCGCCGGGAGTGGGCCAGTTCTGCTAAGTTTCCCAGCACCTGGCTTCCTCCTGGCGCTATGTCTTCCTCCGTGCCAGCCTTGCCCAAGCGAGGTGTGTCGGTCTTCAGCCCTGGCACCACGTGGGCAAGGCAGCCTCTCCCTCTCCAGTCCCCTTTGTCTCCCCCTCTCTGGGCTAGATTTGAACTCGCGTCCGGAAAGCCATCCGGAGCCTGATTTGAACGTTCTTTTCCCAACGGCGTCGCTGGTAATCTCAGTCCTTTGTCCCGGGTGAGCAAATAATGTTTCCAAATGAGCAAGTGGGATTCTTGTAGAGGGCTGGGCAGGTGTATAGACACGCACACCTGCACACAGGTAAACCGGAAATTTTTTTTTAAAAAAAAAAAAGCAAAGCAGTTGCCTTCGAAATAGAAGAAATCCACACGGCCGGATCTGGTCTGCAGTCTCAGCCAAAGTGCTTTCGGATGATGGTGCAGGATCCTGGCTTGTGGCCAGCCATTCTTTCATCCCGGGCCACGTGGGCCCAGGCAGGAGGGCGGGTCAAGAGGCACCGTGGGTATGGCTGGGGACCGGGCGCCGGGAAGCCTGGCTTTGGTTTGCACACCCCGGCGAAGGGTTTCGGCCAAACTTCGCCACCGGTCTGGCCCGGGGTCTAGACCAGAGCCACCGGCTTGGAGCCCGGAGGGTTCAGATAGGCGGGGGCCGGGCCGGTGTCCAGGTCCACGAAGGCCGAGTAAAGCGTGGTCAGTTGAACGCCAGGCAAGCTGTGGTGCTGGTGGTGCAGCTGGTCGCTGCCGGGGCCGGCATCCACCGGGCAGGGGGCCAGGAAGTCCGCCTGGGCAGCCGTCGGGGGTCCCGAGATGAGGCCCAGGGGCTCCCCTGCCAGGCTGTCGTCCTTCAACGCCTCCCACAGGTTCCCTGCGAGGAAGCGGACGGGAGAGCAGGTGGGACAGGGTGGAGGCGAGGGGGCGGGACCCCCAGCTTCCTCTTCCCCCCAAGGAAAGCCGGGAAGGGGGCAGGCGGAAAGGGGCACAGAGGCAGTCCTCGGCTTACAACCGTTTGTTTAGTGGCCCTTTCGAGTTATAACAGCCCTGGAAAAAATGACTTACGGCCTTTGTTTCACACTTAACAACCGCTGCATCCCCCACGGTCACAAGATCCGAATTCGGACGCTCGTATTTATGACGGTCGGAGTGTCCTGTGGGGGAGGGGTCAGGTGAGCCCCTTTTGGGACCTTCCGACCAGCAAAGTCAACGGGGGAAGCCGGGTTCATTTAACGACCGTGCGACCCACTTAACAACGGCAGGGATCTGCTTAACAACCCATGCCGAGAAAGGTCGTAAAATGGGGCAAAGCTCACTTAACAACTGGTCGCTTAGCATTTGGGGGCTGAACGGTGGCCGTAAGTCAAGGACTGTCTGAATTGGGAACCCCCCTTCTGAGAAAAGCAGCCCCCCCCCCGGACCGGGATGGTCTGCGCCTGGGCCGCCCATAAAGAGAGAGCTTCTGTCGTGCCCCATCCCCCCCCCCCCCGTGGCTACCAGGAGTAGGCAACCTTGGCTCTTTTATGACTCGTGGACTTCAACTCCCAGAATTCCTGAGCCAGCTGTGCTGGCTCAGGAATTCTGGGAGTTGAAGTCCACGAGTCATAAAAGAGCCAAGGTTGCCTACCCCGGCCGATAGCCGGACCCCCCGGTCCGCCCAGAGGGAAGGGGCACCTTGCAGGTCGAAGCCGGTGATGGAGGGGTTCAGGGCATCAATGTCCATGCTGAGGTCGCCGTCCAGCAGCAGCAGCTCCGGGCGGGAGGCCGACAGCATCTTCATCCCGCATCCTGGAGGGCTCCGGGCCGGGAGAGGGGAGGGCAGGGCCCCCTGCCTGTTCTGGGCGTCTGCAGGGGGAGAAGGCGGTGAGTGTCCAGCGGTGGCTGGTCCAGGAGGATGGGCGGGCCCACTCCCTGACTCCACCCCCCCACTCCCACTCCCCGCTGCCCTGGAAGATGGGTGGGCTTGGACCCCACTCCTCGGTCCCCTGCTCTCCGGGAAGGTAGATGGGCCGGCTCCCTCGCTCCTTTCTCTCCCACTTCCCCGGAGGATGGGTGGGCGTGTCCCCTGTCCCCCGCTCCCCGCTCCCCAGGAAGGTGAGTAGGCCCGCTCCCTCGCTCCTTACTCTCCCACTTCCCCGGAGGATGGGTGGGCGTGTCCCCTGTCTGCCACTCCCCGCTCCCCAGGAAGGTGGGTAGGCCCGCTCCCTCGCTCCTTGCTCTCCCACTTCCCCGGAGGATGGGTGGGCGTGTCCCCTGTCCCCCGCTCCCCGCTCTCCAGGAAGGTGGGTAGGCCCGTTCCCTGGCTCCCTGCTCTCCCACTTCCCTGGAGGATGGGGGGGCGTGTCCCGTCCCCCGCTCCCCGCTCCCCAGGAAGGTGGGTAGGCCCGCTCCCTCGTTCCTTGCTCTCCCACCTCCCCGGAGGATGAGTAGCCCAACTCCTCCACTCCCCCACTCCCCATTACCCCAAAGGATGGACGGGCCCCCTCCCTCACCCACCCCACTCCCTTGGAGGAAGGTCGGGGGTGCTGCCCCCCACCTGCTTCCTGTGCTGGGGGACATAGCAACTCACAGACAGGCAGCGGCTGGAGGGGCATCTGGCCGGAGACGCAGGGACCCCTGGCTCTGGCCGGGCTGCAGGACAGCAGCTTCTCCGGCTTGTCTCCAATCAGCACCTCCAGTTCTTCTGAAAAATTGGAAAGGAAGCATCGGCACCAAGGAAGACTTTTCAGGGCTGGGAAGGTGGATCTGGCCCCTTCTGGGCCCCCAAAGCTGCCTGTGCCTGTGCTGGAGACCCCTGGGAAGTGCTGGGGGGTAGGGGTGAGTCTCTGCAGGACCCTGTCCGGAATTGGGGTCATTCAGCCTTCCCTACCGTGTTCTCTTCTTGACCCGCCTTTCGTTGACCGGCCTCTGTGTGTTTCTCCCTCCAACGCTTGTAACAAGGGTGCAGTCCAAGGATCGGCTAGATGATCGGGACCCCGGGCTGGGTTTTGCAGGGGGCCCCCCGTACTGCTTTCTGTACTTCTGCAGCCAAGCCCCTTTAGCCTTTGAATCTCAGCTAACTGACTCTTCAAACAATGTTGGTTTACCCAAAGGTGATTTTCCAAAAGGCAGTTAGACCTTCTTGGTTTTTTTTCTCCCGGAAGACCTTTTGCTTCTCATCCAGGAAGCTTCTTCGGTTCTGACTGAATGGTGGAGGATGGAACTGAAGAACCGAGGAAGCTCCTTGGAGGAGAAGGGAAACATTTTCAAAGGAAAAAAAAAGGAAGTTCAGTTGTCTTTTGGAAAAAGTATCTTTGGGACAACCTGAGACCGGAGGGTTGAGACTCTCCCTAGACCAGGGGTTGGCAACCTCGGCTCTTTTATGACTCGTGGACTTCAACTCCCAGAATTCCTGAGTCACTTCGGCTCTTTTATGACTCGTGGGCTTCAACTCCCAGAATTCCTGAGTCAGCATAGCTGACTCAGGAATTCTGGGAATTGAAGTCCACGAGTCATAAAAGAGCCGAGGTTGCCTACCCCTGAACTAGACACCATATTGGATTACCTGTTGCATGAATTCTCTTTCCGCTTCATGGCTTTGATTAATTCCTAGACTGGCTATTAACAAATTAGCTCCTTGATTGGCTTTGCCAGATTGGCTTGCTGATTGTTATGGTCAAATTAACTCCGGGTTGGCTTTACCACATTATTTATTTATTGTTATTGTTTATATTTATATCCCGCCCTTCTCCTTGCGGACTCAGGGCGGCTAACAACCAGATAAAAATGCAAATCCCAAAACTACAGATTAAAACATAATTAAAAACAAATATTAATAATTGGTCTAATTAATTTAAAATTACTTTAAAACCCCCATTAAAAACTTTCCCCTAGGCCAGTCCTGCAAGCTGGAATAGCCATGTCTTAAGGGCGCGGCGGAAGGAAGGGAGATCAGGGATGACCCTGATCTCTGGGGGCAGCTCATTCCAGAGGGTGGGAGCTCCCACAGAGAAGGCCCTCCCCCTTGGGGTCGCCAGCCGGCACTGTCTGGCCGACGGCACCCTGAAGAGACCCACCCTGTGGGAGCGTACTGGCCGATGGGAGGTAATCTGTGGCAGAAGGCGGTCTCGAAGGTATCCTGGTCCGCTGCCATGGAGCACCTTAAAGATGATAGTCAGCACCTTGAAGCGCACCCGGAAGGCCACCGGCAGCCAATGCAGCTCGCGCAGCAGCGGTGTTACGTGGGAGCGACGAGTCCCTCCCAAC